GACCGGCTGCTCTAGTATTTAAACTGTAGAAGAATTAAAAGTTTTAGTCAGACAATTAGATGTTTTACTGTAACTTTTACTGTAAGGAATGAGAGCTCCTATAATAAGATACCAGAAAGAAATAACTGAGAAACGTGGGATACCTGACCATTAGGAACTGAGATTGTGAGAAATCAACAGCTGTTGTTAAGCCAAAGAAGCAGAGCCCAACCAGATTAAAATAACAACACAGAGTTAAGGAAACATCAAGAAAACAAGATTTAGTTAGGTTTATGAGGCAAAGTTCAGCTGAAAATATTCCATTTACCCCAAATGAGAAAATAAATTCATTATTTGGGGAAAATTGTCCATGAGTCCTTGGACTTAATGATGGAAAACCATTCAAAACTGTTCAACTTGATTTACTATTGAAAGATGGGAAACTGCCTTCAGAGATGAAGTAAGAAGAAAGACTGATGCGAACAGCTGTAAATAAACATGAAGTTCCAGCAAAAAGAGAAATTAGAAGTTACTCTTACTGTAGGAAGCTTCTCTGTACCCAATAATTTGTAGGTAATTTACATTAATAAAGAGTCCATATTAAGGGACTGCTTTCATGTGGAGATATGGATGTGAGGTTAAGCTAGCTTCAGACAATTTCACAGTCTATAACTAGGAAATCCCCGTGCACTACATGGCAATTAATACAAAAGAGGTTATCTTACAATTGAAACAGAAACAACAGTTATTGCACCACCAAAAAATGGAATACTTATAATAGAAGATAGTTCTTCAATTAGTGACTAGATGATAGTGGAACCAAATACTCCAACATTTCTTGAAAAATTGGTGATTGGAAAAGCACTCGTGGATGTTATAACTTACTTCACCTAAGGAAGATTTAAATCAGCTTGTAATAAAACCAAAGGTAATTATGATGTAAATCCTAATAAAACTGGATTTCGTCGAGGTGATGTGGTGTAGCTGAGCAGTTCTCATTGCAAGAGAATACAACCCCAAGGTTAAGTAGATGTTCACAGAATAGCAGTACAAGCCAAAGGTCATCCACAATGATCATTTTTGTAAGTACGTGAATGAGAGAATGGCAAACTGGGTAACCTCGGAGGAGAACTTGTTAGTGAAACCTTAACCTGTAGAAGGGCCCAGAATTCCAGATGAGACTTTTCCAGGGGTTCATCGAGGATGGAGCCACCAATGGATTTACCCAACCACCTATCCAGGAAAAACTACAGTAACAGGACAGCCAGGGACGAAAAGAGACAAAACAGCAACTCATCTGTATACCATTGGCCCCAGAAGAGAAGACCACCAAAAAGAGTTGGTTAAATGTCAATTTAGTGTAGTATTTTATTTTATTTTTGTATTAGGACTGTTTAAGGGACTTCACAATCCAGGAAGGAGATAGTGTTCTAAGCGATGTTTTAGACGTTGTAATTCAGATGTTAGCTGGAGGGAGCATTGCATATCATAATGGTGGCGTTAAATTAGGCCTAGAAAGTTCTAAAGATTTTACATTAGGTTTTGTAATACATTCGCGGGTAGATTATAAATACGGTATCAGCGAAGCATGGAGAGGATAGTTATGGGACAGTTAGGAAGATAGTAGAGTGAGTCAGTCTGAGTGTGTTTTCATTTTAGTCAGAGTTTGTTTTCAGTTGCGAAGCCCAAATAAACTTATTTTCACATTAATATTGCAGTTGGCGTCATTTTTAAATTTAGGCTCACACAAATTATAACGATGTAAAAGTGAAGAAAAACATCAATGAACAAGTAAACTAATTTACTATCGTTTAGGTAGACTGGATTTGGAATTATTTTCACCATATAATTTAAAATAATTCGCCAACGAAAGAATAGCGTTACAACATTGTAAATCATTTGTCAATTTACTTTCTTTGATTAATTATGTCTGTTTTATGAAATATAACAGTGCGTAGATAAGAGGATTTTAATAACACAACGTTAAAATACACATGTTAAGAATGCATCATATTTGACTAAATTGATGTTGTAACTTGAGGTTTAAATCAACTATGGATCAAACAATCACGGAAGGCGAAAAAATTATAATCAAAATTCCAACACATAAAAATCATCATATGGAGGTTGATGGTTATTATACACTGTCAAAATTTCGTTATTCTATTACATATTTATTATATACTGTTGAAAGTTCTTTTATAATTATATATGTATTAGACATAGTTGATTGATGTTTTATAATTACACATTTGGCAGTGTTAGTCATGAAAACCCAATGAGTTACCTTTTCAAGGAAAGCCTTGTATATTTCGATGACAAGAAACCCATTTTGAGACTAATAATGCTTGGAGACGGCTTGAGTGGGTAATGAAGAAAATGACAAAACCTTGTCGAAACGTTGTACATTTGTTGTTATGTTAAACTTATATTAAAGTTTTATTTCAGTACCCATTCAAGCCGTCTCCAAGCATTACTTGTTGTATATATATTTAACACATTATTGATAAATTACATTCTATAGGGTAAAACTTTGGAGCAAGAAGATAGTGTAGATTATTAAGAAGTACTTATCAAATTTTAAAATGTTTTTACTTTAAATCAACAATTTCTGTTGTCAATTTATATAAAAAAAAAAATTTACGTAGGAGAACTACCTTTTAATATAAACATATTATTAAATTTCACGAAATTCAATTAATCACAGTCCTCCCCCCCATTCTGAGTATTGAAAACAATAGTTTTCCATTGTTCTGCATTCCCCGCTGCCTGCACACCAGCTTTCACAACTCAATCTTTTTATCTCCAATTCATTTTCTAATGTCAACCAGCCAAGTGCCAAATATAAAAGCCTTTTATTTCAGTTGTCATATTTGTTTGCTTAAAAATATTAATACTTTTGCTTCAGCTTTGAATTTTATATTTTTTTAATATTTTAATTTTTGATAAAATAATGCCTCACTAGCAAGTCTGAAGGCTTATATCTCTAAAATCCGTGTTTCGATACCTGTGGTGGACACGGCATAGATAGCCCATTTTGTAGCTTTATGCTTAATTTCAAAACAAACGAATTGATAAAGTAACTATGAACATATTATTATGTTTTAATTTTGAACTTTAAACCTAGATGGCAACACAAGCGACGTTACCACCCACATTTTGTTTCGATAACTACGCAGATAATCGGAAAGGTATTGGAGTGAAAAGTGTGTAACTAAGCTTGTTCCATGATCATGAAAGCTTTGTAGTTTTTATTTATATCACTCGTACATCTCACGATTATGGCTAATTGTAACGGTTATAGGTCTACCTCGAATTCTGAAAGTGAAAATGATGTATATTATTTAGCTGCTGATTATCTAAAATTCCATTTGAGTCGCAAAGGGCTGGAATGTTCGTTATGTCCTGATAGTGATAGGCTTACCATGAGAATAGGCGAGAAGGTTCGTATGAAAATTCGTTCGCTCGGCGAGGATATGGATAAACAATTTTGCGAGCAATTTGCTGAAATACGTAGCAAGTTGGATATTACACAGTCTTCATTACAAACGGCTTTTTTTGGAGTGATTAATGAGCTTTTTAGTGAGGGGATTAAATGGTCAAATATTATTACCCTCTTCGTATTTTCTGGTGAGATGGCAGTAAATTGTATTGAAAAAGGATGGCATCATCATGTGAATAACATAGCTTGGTGGCTCACCACATACATATGTGACAATCTCCTAGGGTGGGTTGATGATCATGGTGGCTGGGTAAGTATATGAAAATTTATGTATTTATAAGACATTCTGAATGAAAGTAAAGAAAGCTATATAGTAATATATCATTATCAACCATACCATATCCAGAGGTAGCAAGGCCTTTTCTTTTCCCTATTAGTATTACCACTGGCTCTTCAAGTTCAGACCAATTGAGGTACAGCAGACATAGCAGTGGTTGAGAACTTGAGTCTGAGATGCTATTTTAAGTACTTAGATTGTAAATTTTCTTGAACAACAGCTGTTTTGATATGAAGTGGATTAAGTGGGGGGAAATGTAATTTTGATCAATTTCATTTTAGTCCCTACACATCATAATTATGCTAACAAATTTTTAACACTTTGTTATTTATTTATTTAACCTACTCATAATTCAGAAGAACTAGTTTCCTTTCAAGCTGTATCTTTGATCAGTTCTTATTGTTGATATTTATTACTGAAAATTCATGAAAACATAAGTATATTCTGTTTTAATCTATTGGTATGCTTTGTACTGCACTGCATGTAAGAGGCTGAGAACATGCTAAAATTAACACTATTTTTTTTACTGGTATATTGAATATAGGTTTTATAACTATATACATCATAGTCAGTTGTGTTCATATCTGAAATATGTGATATTTAACATACCATTGTTTCTGTTGCCTGTTCAAAACACATGCTGTTGATATCCCAAACTATGTTCAAAGAGTTAGTTTCACACAGTGTTACAAAATACTTTATAGAAGAGGTTTCCATTCATTTAACTGTTTTGTTACATAATATGCACACTTGTTTGTTCTTTGATAATAACAATATTTGCAAAAGTTAGAAGCGTAAAACATAGATAGTGTTAATATAGATGTCATTTAGTTAGAAAAACATATTTTTTATAATTCTCACAACCTTTTGAAGCTGGTACTGATGAAAAACTAATTCTGTAACTATAAAAAAGCAAACAAAATCTAAGTATAAAATAATGAACAGTGTGAGTTTTGATGTCCAAGCTCAATGACCAAAACCATTGATGAGAAGTGATTACAAGGAATATATAATGACAACATGTAGGCTGGTTAGATCTGTGGAACAATCACTAAAAAAACACACAATTATGTATTTAGGTAACATAATTAAAAATTATGCAAGGACCCCATGAGTAGTATAAATCACAATCATGCCTACAATAGCAAAATAACTTATGGAAACACAGGATCAACCTCAGTCTTAACATTCAAGTCCTATTAAATTCTTTAATTTAAAACCAACAGTTAAGATAAGTGACCAAAAATTATTTCAATTACAGTTATGTATAACGTTAATTTATAAAGAACTGGTATAGGTAAAGGTTTGCTTGCAGTAAAAGATAGCTACATTTGTAGTACATTTGTCACAATAGTTCTTTGTTTTTACTGTTTTTGGTTTTGCATAGAAAATTTGTTTAATTAGTGTTGTAGTTTCCCTTAAGTTACCCAAGGCCAGTACACAATAACTCGTATATATGGTGTAATCTTAACGATCAATAAAAGTTACTAATTAATTTCTTGGCCGTATACTTCTGAGTTTTAAACAAATGTACTAATGTTACAAGAAAACTAACTTTTCATATAAGAATTTCAAATCAATATATCCCAAATTTGGAGGAGGTCAAAATTTTGAAACAGTCTTTAAAATCTCTACAATATTTAGGTTATTTGTTATAGATAGAAAATTATATTTATGTGGTTTAAATTTTCACCATGAATAGTGGAGCTCAAAATGATTATACTTTTAATGTAATTTTACAATTTAAGTAAACAATATACTCAGTAGCTTATCAAACTTAAGATATGGACATACAGGGTCCATTTGGTTCTTCAAGGCTGTCCTTGCATAACTGTCCTTTAGGAAGGTAAACCATAAAATGTCCTTTGTTGTCTATATATTATGCTAAATGTTAGTTGATAACACTAATAAATTGGTAAGTTAATGTATAAACAAAGGTAACTTGTTCTTGTTCAGTAGTTTTTACATTCTGTTAGCTGTCCTCAACATAACGTGTAACTAGCAGATTCAGTTGAAAAAAAAATGTTCCAAGACCATATATTTTACTCACACATTTTAATTTTTGGTAATGGCCTTTATTGATATTTTATGAATGTTTGACTTATCAAAAAATAGTAAGAACAATGTTCCTTTTGCTCTAAGTCTACATTGAACCTACTCGCAAGTTGAACGCCACATACTCAGAGTAATATAGAAAGAAAGAACAAGCATATTCATAGTTGACAATAAACTGTTGTAGACTCGTATAACAAGTGAAGTTTTAGTGAAACTACAGCAATGTTAAGAATTTGTAATAGCTGTTTACGATTTATATCAGCCTTCCTGGTGGTATATAAAATGTCTAAAATATTAAAATACTGTTTTAATATTCACAAAGTATAATGATTAATAACTTGGCAGTCTGGCTATAAAATTAGTAGTATCAACACATGTCTTATGAACTGAACACTGATTTTCTTGAAACAGGACTTTTTGCAACTGACTGTACAATTAAAAGATTTTTTTTTACTATGAGTTGAATTTATTTTGTTTAAATTCCATTAAGTGTCTTAGTTTCAATAGTTATAGTGTAGTTAATATGTCCATTTTAAGTAGAACATTGTAGATCTCGAACTATTACCCATCTGCCAGATTAACATTCAACTAAGTGGACTAAAAGTGCTATGTTTATTAAACTTTTCTGAGCTACATGAACCTTCACAAAATTTTTACTTGTAATATGATGGTCTTACAATGGAAGATATAATAGCCATGTAAAGTTTACAGTTTTCACAGTCATTGACACATATTTCATCTGAAGATCATTTTAAACCAAGTTCTTTTCTTTAGCTATCACTCTCAGACCATCCTAGAAAATGGAGCATCCTGGCACTGAAATGCCAGATCTTGATGGTTACACATTACATGCAGAAATCATATATATGTATACAGTTAATTTTTACTGTCTACTTCTTGACTTGTAGCATAATCTGTGGTGTCATACCAATCAAACTTGGACTTCTGTCAGTGAAACAGTATAAAGTTGGTAAACTATACTAACAATAGGATGCCAGTAATGAATGAACATCACTATATTTACTACATAAAAAAATGATTATGTTACAGAAGGCTATTAGAATCTTTGATGGAATCCAGAAAAGTAAGGCTGGTGATACTGGCACCAGTAATAATACAAAGTGCGAACCAATGGCATGTTCAAAAGGCACCATTTCTTCCCATGTGAAAAAACTACAGCAATAATTGTACATTTATACTTTTATCATGAGATTTTTTTCTCATTTTGCATTATTATAAGTGTGATTTCTTTCCCACTTTCATTATTACATGTCCTTTTTTGTTGTTTTTTTGATAGGTGCAGCTAATATTTTGGACTACTAGATTGATGATTCTTTTTTGGCCTTCTTTTTTTTATATTGATTTTGACATACTTCAGCACTTTTAATTTTTCTACTTCATGTGATGTACTTTTAAGACAGGCCTTAATTATTTGTTAATTTCCTAACATCCAATTAGGATTAATACATTTTATTGAATTAATGAACTTAAGCTTAACTAATTTTTTTCACTGAGATTAGCTACCCTGTCTTTCTCTCATAAAATATCCTACAATTTCAGGGAAATGTTTTATTTAAAATCAGGAATGTGACTATTTACCCTACATATCATTTCAATAAAACCATCAAAAGTAATAATATTAAGATTGTAAGAATTCTTTTGTATTACCACACTAATAGTTTATTCCTTAGTAATAAAAACAAGGTCTAAGATAGCACTTTGTCTTGTAGTTTCTGTCAAGTACAAATTGAGAAAATCTCTATACAGCTTTATTTCAAAACAATTCTTCATCAGTAGACCAGTGGAAAATGCCAAGGCACACATCCCACATTCTTGCCAACTTCTGTTTTGAATTTTCATTCTACTTTTCTTAATAATAAAACAACTTCTGTTTTATTCTCATGCAACATATTGGAAATACCACAAAAGCAAGCAGTGACCTAAGCCTTCTTCTCTAATAGCATTTAACAGAACTACAAATAAATTTGCTACACTGTCTTATCCATTGAGTATCAGATCTACTGAGGTGGAAAGCAAAGTCATTCTTGTCACTCAGTGCGTCTCTTTTCATATCAGTCTGACAATGGACTTAAAAAGCAATTCTCCCACATTCTAACATCTACATTTTTCTATTACCACTCTGTCGCTAGCCAGGAGTTGAAGTTTATTGGGTGCATTCATCTATTATAGAGAAGGAATTTTTGTTACTCCAGCCTTAGTTTCTTTATTGGATACTTCCTTTTCTACCCCTACATAGTATTTGTAGTAAAAGCCTGAAAGTTTTCTGTTGGCTATTCATTTAGTACTACCTTTACCTATAACTTAAGAGCTTTCTACAGGTAATTAATATGTTCTACAGATGAATTGTATGCTGTTTTTCTGTACCCAGTCAAAATAGAATGTATTATTATACCAGAAATTTATTTTGAAAATTATCTTGTTTTGGTATTTATTACATTTAACAAATTTCTCTCCTTTCACATTTTTTGTACACACTGATTATTTTGACTGTCTAAATCAAAACCAAAATCTTAAATTACATAATAAAACATAGATAAATTTAAATGTTTTTAAATCTAATCCACAAGAACCATGGATTTATGACAAAAAATAATGTGATTAAAAATGTAATAAAGAAAAGATCCCGCAAAGTACAGAATTTTATCGGTAGCCATCAGAGTCCCTTGGTTTTGGATACCATACACATACTTTCCAGTATAGGGTTCAGAATCTAGAGTTGTAATGTATTAAGGGTCAAAGTATTGTGATATATTGGTGCATCAGCAAATTATTAAGCACTACCAGAACCCATGAAATATTACATCTTCTGTAACTCACGATTGGAGGTGACACCTATGGTATGTTTTTCAGAGCATATATCTTATTACTGGTTTGTTTTTTAACCACTCAGATGTTTG